TTGGACCCGATGAAATTAGAGAACTTCGTCGGCCCACAGATTTTGTCTCTCAGGGCTACTAAGGAGACCGCTAGAGCAATTGGGCGGTCTATGGCAGCCCTGGTGGCCACTGAGAGACATCTGTGGTTGAATTTGACTGATTTAAAGGACCGAGATCGTTCCTTTCTTTTAGATGCCCCGGTTAATCCTGATGGTCTCTTCGGCGACGCTGTTGATGAGGTCGTCGAGAGATTTCAGGAAGCTAAAAAACAGTCAGAGGCATTTTAAAAATTTCTCCCTCGCCGTGTCCAACCCCCTGGGGCTGCTGGGCGTGAGCAGCCCCAGCCGTCAAGCTCATCATATCGTGCGCAACAAAAAGAGAGTGTTGCGTCTCGTGCACCTCCACAAAACACTGGAGGCAGACGAAACACTCTCAGCCAAAGCCTTCGAAGTCGAAGCCGGATCTTGAGGACCGTTCTTCAGGCTAAGAAGGCTTCGGCGCAAAAGAAAAAGGTCCTGACGCCACGGGTGTCAGACCAGTGAGGACTGCCCCAACCGAAGTGAACCGGTGTACACCTCAGTATACGGTGCCCGGTTCATTTCGGGGTCCTCAGGGACAATTCTGCCCACCCCGCCACCCTTGGTGCTTCGGGGCGCAGTGGTCGCCAGAGAACGTCTGGCGCAACGTCGACTCGACGTTGCGTCGGACGGGAACCTTCTGAGGGGGGTTCAAAAACAGTCAGTCCGGTTGGTTTCTGCCGTTATGTTCCAGGCCCCCGGGCTGGGTGTTTTAAATACATCAGAGGCCAGCCTCGAGAGGCTGGTTCCCCTAGTAGAATTTCTGACAGAATGGAGGAATCTGCCAAATATTTCTCGTTGGGTCCTGCAGATGATAGAGGGAGGATACAGAATCCAGTTCGGTTCTCGTCCTCCACGTTTCAACGGGGTGCTGCCCACGTTGGTACACCCCGAGCAGGCTCTGGTGATGGAGCAAGAAGTGAAGGCTTTATTAGCGAAAGAAGCTATAGAGCAGGTGTATCCACCCGACAGGGAATCGGGTTTTTACAGCCGCTATTTCATTGTTCCAAAAAAGGATGGAGGGTTGCGTCCCATTTTAGATCTTCGTCTATTGAATCGTTCAGTTCAGAAACTCAAGTTCAAGATGCTGACACTCAAGCAGATTGTGACTCAAATCAGATCCGAGGACTGGTTCGTCACGATAGATTTGAAAGATGCGTACTTCCATATCTCCATCCTCCCTCAGCACAGGAGGTTCCTGAGGTTTTCTTTCGGGGGCAAAGAATACCAATATCGGGTACTTCCATTCGGTCTGGCTTTATCACCCCGCACGTTCACGAAGTGCGTAGATGCAGCTCTGGCCCCGCTCAGGCTGCAGGGCATACGCATTCATTCTGAACTACATAGACGACTGGCTGATTCTAGCAGAGTCAGAACAGTTAGCGGTTCGGCACCGAGGTGTCGTTCTCGCACATATGCAGAAATTGGGGTTGAGGCTCAACGCCAAGAAGAGTGTGCTTTCTCCAGTACAGAGAACCACTTTTCTTGGTGTGGTATGGGATTCAGTCACGATGCGAGCCACGCTGTCGCCCGCTCGTGTAGCTGCTATCCTTTCCGCCACAAAGGAGCTAAAGCTAGGCCAGTCACGCACTGTGAAACAGTTCGAGAGACTGTTAGGTCTCTTGGCAGCAGCGTCCAACGTGATACCTTTTGGCCTGTTGTATATGAGACCTCTGCAGTGGTGGCTCAGGACCAGAGGGTTCTCCCCGAGGGGGAACCCACTTCGTATGATCAAGATCACGCGGCGGTGTCTCCAAGCCTTGATTATATGGAGGAAACACTGGTTCCTGTCCCAGGGTCCGGTGTTGGGAGCTCTTTGCCATCGAGTGGCTATCTCGACAGATGCTTCCCTCACCGGCTGGGGAGCGGTAATGGAAGGCCGTTCAGCTCAGGGTCTGTGGAGGAGTCATCATCTCTCCTGGCACATAAATTGCCTGGAGATGATGGCTGTCTTCAAGGCTTTGAGATATTTCCTCCCAGATCTGAGGGGCCATCATGTGCTTGTCCGGACAGACAACACATCAGTGGTCTCTTATTTAAATCGACAGGGGGGTCTGCGTTCGCGTCCACTGTGCAAACTGGCGCACCAGATCCTCCTGTGGTCCCTAGGGAAATTGCTCTCACTGAGGGCAGTATACATTCCAGGGGCCCAGAATGTAGGAGCAGACACACTGTCGAGGCAGAGGCTGAGGCCGGGGGAATGGAGGCTCCACCCCGAGGTGGTGGAGCAGATCTGGAGGGTGTATGGCCAGGCGGAAGTGGATCTGTTTGCGTCTCAGCACACGACGCACTGTCCTCTTTGGTTCTCCCTCACTCAACCAGCCCCCCTGGGGCTGGATGCTATGGTTCAGGCATGGCCGAGGCTGCGTCTGTATGCCTTTCCCCCTGTAGCTCTGCTCCCAGGAGTTCTGGAGAGAATCCGCCAGGATGGGATAAGTCTATTGCTAGTAGCACCACGCTGGCCAAGTCGTATTTGGTTTGCGGACCTCATTCATCTTCTCGACAGGCCTCCCCTGGAGTTGCCCATCAGGAGAGACCTTCTGTCTCAGGCAGGGGGCACGATATTTCACCGCCAGCCAGAGATTTGGAAACTATGGGTGTGGCCTCTAGGGGGCCCAACTCATGAGTAGTGGTCTGTCAGCGGAAGTGGCTGAGACCATTTTAAGCTCCAGAGCTCCGGCTACGAGGAAACTTTACGCACTTAAATGGAAAGTGTTTACTTCCTGGTGTCGCCAACGCCAGTGGGACCCGATTAATTGTTCAGTCAACACAGTTCTCGAGTTTCTACAAGAGCGTTTCTCGTCAGGTCTATGTCCTTCCACGCTCAAGGTTTACGTGGCAGCCATTGCGGCTTTCCATGCCCTAGTGGGGGGTACTTCCCTCGGTCGAGACCCCTTGATTACACGTTTCCTCCGTGGCACACTGAGGCTGAGGCCTGCAACTCGTACTAGGGTGCCGGCTTGGGATCTGGCTACTGTTCTTGAAGGCTTATCTGGGGTTATCTTTGAGCCCCTGGATTCGGTTTCAGAGAAATTTCTCACTTTTAAAACAGTGTTTCTGTTAGCTATTTCATCCCTTAAGAGAGTCGGTGACCTTCAGGCCCTTTCGGTTTCCCCTGCATGCCTTGAATTTGCACCAGGGATGGTCAAGGCATTCTTATACCCTAAACAAGGCTATGTGCCTAAGGTGCCCACCATGATTCCGAGGCCTATTGTGCTACAGGCTTTTTGTCCTCCACCGTTTTCTTCTCCGGACCAGGAAAGATTGAACCTTTTATGCCCAGTGAGAGCACTGGACAATTATGTGCATCGGACTTCTGCTTTTAGGAGATCTGATCAGTTATTTGTCTGCTTTGGATCTCCCAAGAGGGGTCTTCCTGCTTCAAAGCAGACAGTTAGCAAGTGGATAGTTGAGGCTATTTCTCTGGCTTATGAGTCTTCTGGCCTGCCTTGCCCTTTGGCGGTCAGGGCCCATTCTACTAGGAGTATGGCGGCTTCTAAAGCTCTCTTATCTAGAGTCTCTCTTCAAGATGTTTGTGATGCGGCGGGTTGGTCCTCTCCTCTCACATTTGTCAGGTTTTATAGCCTGGACCTGGAGGCTGCCCCAGGTTCACATGTGCTTAATAATGCTTAGGGTGGTGTGACAACAGGCTGACACTCAGGCATTTGAAAGTCTGGCGATTTGGGTATTCTCGTTCCCAAAAGCGTAACAGTGACGCATCGCGAGTTCCCTCGATAGGGAACGTCTCAGGTTACGTCTGTAACCATAGTTCCCTGAGAAGGGAACGAGACGATGCGTCACCCTGCCATACTTCCTGCATCCCTGTATCGGCTTGCTTCGGCAATTTCTGAAGCTAATGCCGGTTTGCACCGGGTGCTCTTTTATCATTTCCTGGTCATGACGTCATCCGCCCATGACGGTCATGTTTCCTATTGGACTAGTTGACATAGATGCTTCAGACGCAGTCACGCTGGAGGCGTTCCCAAAAGCGTAACAGTGACGCATCGTCTCGTTCCCTTCTCAGGGAACTATGGTTACAGACGTAACCTGAGACGTTTTCTTTTCATTGTACAGAGGTTAGTTATTCCGTGCATATGCATAACGAGTAACAAGTTAGATATGTCATGTAATGCACTGAAACACATCTTAGGTGTTTTCTTTTCACTGCACAGAGCGAGTTATTGCGTGTATATGCATAACGAGAAACAAGTTAGATCTGTCATGCAATGCACTGAAACACATCTTAGGTGTTTTCTTTTCACTGCACAGAGGTTAGTTATTGCGTGCATATGCATAACGAGGAACAAGTTAGATAGGTCAGGCAATGCGATTGTTCTGCCCCTCTTTGTGTTGCATTAGAGACATCTAGTGGTGTAAATTTATATTGCATTTGAGTTCTCATATTTAGTCCCTCCTCTCTTGCCGTTGTTTTTGCCCGTGTGCTTCTGACTCTGATCTACTGAGAGGTCTCGCAGCAGTTACTCTTTTCTCTTTGCCTTGGTAGTTTTTGAAGGTCTAAGTCTGTAAGTATTTCTGTAAAAAGTATATTTACTTTGCTATATTCTTTCAGTATTGTCCGTTTTAGCATAATATGTATGTTGTATTAATAGATGCTAATCGCGATTAGCATTTCTCCATAGACATCCATGTTAATGTTAGCTTAAATGCTAACTAGTCCTACAAGTCTCTTTAAAATGACTAATTTTTCTTATGGGATAGCTATATATGTTAGACTTGATTTGCATATTCACGTATATGTATATATGGGCAGTTTGTAATGCCATGTTATTATGTTTTCACAGTTTTACAAAATTGGAAAGATCCTTACTAAAGGCCTCTCTCTACTCCGGTTTCCTGGGTCTTTATTTATTGGGTCTTATGTTAGCTATCTGCTACGCTAACCGATCAAAGCAAGAGCAGAATAGTAAAAAGACTTAAAATTCAGTCTGCTACCATAAGAAAAGTGAGATATCAACACTGCAGCCCAGAAGTGCAGCATAGATTCAACAATCTATCATGGAGGAAAAAAGTGAAGAAAAACCTCTGCTATATCCAGAAGATGGACAGTCTCAACACTCCTACCATACCAGAAGCTCAACCCATTCTAGCCGTGCCTCAGCACACGGTTCTGCTGCCACGAGAGCTAGAGCTAAAGCGGAAGCTGCAAAAATCAAAGCTGCATATGCACAAAGAGAAGCAGACATGCTAATAAAGCAAGCACGGTTAGAAGCAGAAGAATTTAAAAGAAAAACTGAGCTTGAAGTGGAACTGAAACGTAGGACAACTGAGTTACAGGCCAACCTCAAAGCACTGAAAATACAGGGCGCTGCTGAAGCAGCTATTACAGAGGCTGAAATCCTTGAAGCAGCTTATGAGGAAGAAGTTGGAAAACCAACACAGCAGAATGTGACCAAATTAGCTCCATATCACTCACATCAACGCACTAGTGAGTATGTGCAACAACATTCGCTGGAACATGGGGAGCAACAGTCTCAACTCATGGAACCACAATGCATCTTTACACCAGAGCACCAGACAAACATGGACAACGGTGATACAGATAATCGTGGAATCCAAACACACAGTTGGGAAGAAATAAGCGACGGCATGTTCCAAGAATTAACAGCACAACGCCAAAGCACGAGCACAGCCTACGCTCAGCAAAGCCATGCAAGCCCTTTGAAGTTCTACCAAAATGAGTGCCGCCCTCTACAGACTCGCATCACACCAACAGAAGGTAAAACCTACTTCATGCCCTCTAGAGCACCCCTGCATGATCAGTCAGACACAAAAGACTTAGCCAGATACCTGATTCGCAAAGAAATAATTAGCTCTGGGCTCTTAAAGTTTGACGATAAACCAGAGAACTACTGGGCCTGGAAAGCTTCCTTTGTCAACTCCACCAGTGATCTGAACTTAACCCCCAGGGAAGAGCTAGATTTACTGACAAAATGGCTGGGACCACGGTCTACAGAGCAGGCTAAACGGATCCGTGCAGTTCACATCAATAATGCCAGCGCAGGACTCAAAATGGTGTGGCAGAGATTGGAAGAATGCTATGGATCAGCAGAAATGATAGAAAACGCTCTGCTTAAGAAGTTAGAGGAGTTTCCAAAAATATCAAACAGGGACAATGAGAAGCTGTGGGAGCTAGGGGACCTGTTGCTAGAGCTGGAGGCAGCCAGGAAAGATGGATTCTTACCTGGATTATCTTACCTCAACACACCACGGGGAGTCAATCCCATCGCACAGAAGCTTCCCTATAACCTTCTGGAGAAATGGATTGCAGTCGGCTCTAAATATAAAGACGAACATCAGGTTCAATACCCCCCCTTTTGTGTCTTTGTAAAGTTTATCAGAGACCAAGCAAAGACAAGAAATGACCCCAGCTTTGTCGAACTGACCATGAGTGGTTCAGTCAAGACGGATAAACCTCTGAAACCCACCAAACCGTATGTGTTCACCAGGAAGACTGAGGTTTCTTCAGAAAGTGGTGATAAGCAAAACATTAGGGAAGAAAAGGTTGAGGATCCAGATAGATTATGTCCGTTACATAATAAGCCCCATCCTCTAAGAAAATGCCGTGGCTTTCGCAGCAAGACCGTAGATGAACGAAAAGCTTACCTCAAAGAGAAACACATTTGTTTCAAGTGTTGTGCCTCAACAAATCATCTCGCCAAGAACTGTGACAAATCTGTGCAGTGCAAAGAGTGCAACAGCAACAAACACTTAGCTGCGCTTCACCCAGGGCCAGTGCCATGGAAGTCATTCAGCTCTGCCGTCAAGGAGGATCATGGCGGGGAGCAGCAGGAAGATGAGACTCCAGAGGTTATGTCAAAGTGCACAGAAGTCTGCGGGGACTCATTCGGTTCCCGATCATGCTCCAAAATATGCTTGGTCCGAGTCTACCCTGCAGGCCAAAGGGAGAAAGCTGTTAAAGCATACGCTGTCCTTGATGAGCAGAGTAATAAGTCTCTGGCCAAGACCGAGCTGTTCGACCTTTTGGGCATTGGAGCAAATGCCGCACCATACACCCTTAAAACATGCTCAGGGATTGTGGAAACATCAGGAAGACGTGCAAACAACCTCATAGTTGAGTCAATAGATGGAAAGGTACAGATCTCACTTCCATCACTCATAGAGTGTGACATGATGCCAGACGACCGTTCAGAGATTCCCTCAGCAGAAATAGCACAGCACTATTCCCACCTCAAGCCAATTGCGGATAAAATCCCAGCCATTGATCCGGATGCAGCCATTCTTCTTCTACTCGGCAGAGATATACTGTGCGTACACAAAGTACGTAAACAGTATAATGGACCCAACAATGCTCCATATGCCCAACAACTTGACCTCGGCTGGGTCATTGTTGGAGAGGTATGTCTCGGAGGGGCCCACAAGCCTAGCAGCATTAATGTTTACAGGACTGATGTCCTACCTACTGGCCGTACGTCTTTCCTTAGACCATGTCATAGTGTTATTCACATCCGGGAAAAGTTTGACAAGAGGAGATCAAGTCACAGTGTACAAACCTTGAAAAAGATGGACATACTGGCAGATGACATTGATGATCTTGGAAGCACAGTATTCAAAAGAACAAAAGAGGATGAGAAAATAGCTTTGTCTGTTGAAGATCAAGCCTTCCTTGAGATCATGGACAAAAACGTTCACATGAATGATGCAAACAGTTGGGTGGCTCCCTTACCATTTCATTCCACAAGGCGCCGTCTCCCAAATAATAGAGAGCAAGCAGCCAAACGTCTCTCATCTCTGTGTCGCACTTTGGAAAGAAAGCCAGACATGAAAAAGCAATATATGGATTTCATGCAGAAAATCTTCGAGTCAAACCAGGCAGAACTAGCTCCGCCATTGAAAGAGAATCAAGAGTGCTGGTATCTACCAACATTTGGTGTCTACCACCCTAAGAAGCCAGACCAAATACGGGTGGTGTTTGACTCCAGTGCCAGGGAGCCTTTTGCAATCACTGCAGATGTGCAACAGATGTTTTATTGTTTCACAGTCTGTGAGGAACACCGTGATTTCCTAAGGTTCTTGTGGTTTGAAGATAACGACTTCACAAAACCAGTGACTGAATACCGGATGACAGTACATGTATTCGGTAACAGCCCTTCACCAGCTGTGGCCATTTATGGCTTGAGACGGGCAGCACAAGAAGGACAAAAAGAACATGGCCAAGATGCTAAGCAGTTTGTCATGCGGAACTTTTACGTGGATGATGGACTCGCCTCATTCTCCACAGCAGTAGAAGCCATCGACATTCTGAAAAGAACAAGGGAGATGTTAGCTGAGTCAAGCATCAAGTTGCACAAGATAGCATCAAATAGCAGCACTGTTATGAACGCTTTCCCATCTGAAGATCGTGCCAAAGATCTTAAGGATCTGGATCTGTCATCTGATCCTTTGCCTTTTCAACGCAGTCTAGGCCTCAGATGGGACCTGCAAACAGACAGCTTCTCCTTCTGCGTGTCTGATGAGGAAAAGCCATTCACTAGAAGGGGAATTCTTTCAACGGTCAACAGTGTCTACGATCCCTTGGGATTTGTGGCACCAATCACGATTCAGGGAAAGGCTCTGGTGAGAGATATCTCCATAGAAGAGTACGATTGGGACACTAAACTACCAGACGTCAAAATAACCCAGTGGAAAGCCTGGAAAGATTCCTTGATGGAACTTAAGCTACTTCAGATCCAGAGGACCTACCTTTCTGTTTCTCTGCTTGCCACTGTACACAGAGAAATTTGTGTCTTCGCAGATGCATCGACTTTAGCTATATCAGCTGTAGCCTACCTTAAGGCAGTTGATACAGAAGGACGCAGTCATGTCGGGTTCATTATGGGGAAGTCCAAGCTGGCTCCACGTCCTGCGCACACTGTTCCTCGTTTGGAGCTGTGTGCAGCTGTCTTGGCAACAGAGCTTGCAGACCTGATAATGGATGAAATCGATGTGGAGATTCACACAGTCAAGTACTACACAGATAGCAGGATTGTCCTTGGCTACATTCATAACACGTCTAGGAACTTCTATGTATATGTTGCAAACAGAGTGACAAGAATCAGGAAGTCCTCGCACCCTAATCAGTGGCACTATATCAGCACCAGCCATAATCCTGCAGATCATGGATCCAGGTCAGTCCCAGCCGCTCTCCTAAAAGACACCAACTGGTTTTCAGGTCCAGCTTTTCTGACAAAACCTGAGTCGGATGAGTCTCCTCAGCTAGAGATATTTGACCTTTTACATCCAGAGTCTGATGCAGAAATCCGCCCTCAAGTTTCAACCTATGCTACAAACACTACAGGTGGAGGTGGAGGTATCGGCTCTAATCGGTTTAGTAGATTCTCCAGTTGGAAATCACTTACCCGTGCAACAGCCAGGCTCATCCAAAAGGCCAGAGCCTACTCCAAAAATACAGACCATAAACAGAGAATGGGTGAGCTTCCTCAAGCAAAACTCATAATAATGAGAAGCGTACAACAGGACTTCTTTAAAGAGGAAATTCAAAACATCTCAAAGGGTGAAGAAGTCTCAAGACACAGTTCAATCAGAAGTTTGGATCCCATCGTAGATGATAATGGTTTGCTGAGAGTTGGAGGTCGAATATCGTCAGCAGACATGTCCTGGGAAGAAAAGCATCCAATCCTTCTTCCAAAAAACCATCATGTCTCTACTCTGCTGGTAAGACATTATCATGAACAAGTTGCTCACCAAGGACGACACTTCACTGAAGGTGCAGTTCGTACAGCTGGACTGTGGATAACAGGAAGTAAGAGATTGGTGTCAAGTGTGATTCACAAATGTGTGATCTGCAAAAGATTAAGAGGAAAGTTGGAAGAACAAAAAATGTCTGACTTACCTCTGGACAGATTCACCATGGATCCTCCGTTCACGAATGTTGGACTTGACGTTTTCGGACCTTGGACCATCTCGTCGCGCAGAACCAGAGGTGGTCAAGTAGAAAACAAACGCTGGGCAGTTATGTTCACTTGTCTGAGTACACGAGCAGTGCATATTGAGGTTGTAGAGACCATGTCAACCTCCAGCTTCATCAATGCTTTGAGGAGATTCACCGCTATCAGAGGTCCTGTAAGTCTGCTCCGTTCTGATAGGGGCACAAACTTCGTTGGAGCTTGCAAAGAACTGCAAATAAACTCAGAGGATCCTGAGCTAAAAGCTCACCTGCAAGAAAAAAGTTGCACCTGGATATTCAATCCTCCACACTCCTCTCACATGGGTGGAGTGTGGGAGAGGATGATCGGTGTTGCACGCCGCATTTTGGATGCCATGCTATTGAAGGAGAACTCTCGCCTCACTCATGAAGTGCTTGTGACTCTCATGGCTGAAATCATGGCAATCATGAATGCAAGACCTCTTGTTCCAGTGTCCTCTGATCCAGGGATGCCAGCTGTTCTCACACCAGCAATGCTGCTCACTCAGAAGATTGATCCAGTATCTGCTCCTCTGGGGAACATGGATCTCAAAGATCTTTATAGCAAGCAATGGAGGCAAGTCCAAAGCCTCGCTGAAACTTTCTGGAGACGCTGGAAGCAAGAGTACTTGGAGACGCTCCAACCCCGTAAGAAGTGGAAATCCGAAAGACCGAACCTGCAAGTTGGAGATGTGGTACTCCTTAAAGACACTCAAGTTAAAAGGAATGAGTGGCCCACAGGTGTTATTGCGGAAACCATCCCCAGTCGTGATGGCAGGATTCGGAAAGTCAATGTGAAGATCATGAGACAGGGTACTCCCAAGGTGTATTCAAGACCTGTTTCAGACATTGTGCTGCTTCTCAGTAATGGGCCATAGTGGTATTATTTAATACCAGGCGGGGAGTGTTCTGCCCCTCTTTGTGTTGCATTAGAGACATCTAGTGGTGTAAATTTATATTGCATTTGAGTTCTCATATTTAGTCCCTCCTCTCTTGCCGTTGTTTTTGCCCGTGTGCTTCTGACTCTGATCTACTGAGAGGTCTCGCAGCAGTTACTCTTTTCTCTTTGCCTTGGTAGTTTTTGAAGGTCTAAGTCTGTAAGTATTTCTGTAAAAAGTATATTTACTTTGCTATATTCTTTCAGTATTGTCCGTTTTAGCATAATATGTATGTTGTATTAATAGATGCTAATCGCGATTAGCATTTCTCCATAGACATCCATGTTAATGTTAGCTTAAATGCTAACTAGTCTTACAAGTCTCTTTAAAATGACTAATTTTTCTTATGGGATAGCTATATATGTTAGACTTGATTTGCATATTCACGTATATGTATATATGGGCAGTTTGTAATGCCATGTTATTATGTTTTCACAGTTTTACAAAATTGGAAAGATCCTTACTAAAGGCCTCTCTCTACTCCGGTTTCCTGGGTCTTTATTTATTGGGTCTTATGTTAGCTATCTGCTACGCTAACCGATCAAAGCAAGAGCAGAATAGCGATGAAACACATCTTAGGTGTTTTCTTTTCATTGCACAGAGTTTAGTTATTACGTGGATATGCATAACGAGGAACAAGTTAGATTGGTCATGCAATGCGATGAAACACATCTTAGGTGTTTTCTTTTCATTGCACAGAGGATAGTTATTGCATGCATACATAACGAGGAACAAGTTAGATAGGTCATGCAATGCATTGAAACACATCTTAGTTGTTTTCTTTTCATTGCACAGAGGTTATTGCGTGCATATGCATAACGAGGAACAAGTTAGATATGTCATACAATGCAATGAAACACATCTTAGGTGTTTTCTTTTCATTGTACAGAGGTTAGTTATTTCGTGCATATGCAATAACGAGTAACAAGTTAGATATGTCTTGTAATGCACTGAAACACATCTTAGGTGTTTTCTTTTCACTGCACGGAGCGAGTTATTGCCTGCATATGCATAAAGAGAAACAAGTTAGATCTGTCATGCAATGCACTGAAACACATCTTTAAGGTGTTTTCTTTTCACTGCACAGAGCGAGTTATTGCGTGTGTATGCATAACGAGAAACAAGTTCGATCTGTCATGCAATGCACTGAAACACATCTTTTAGGTGTTTTCTTTTCACTGCACAGAGCGAGTTATTGCGTGTATATGCATAACGAGGAACAAGTTAGGTCATGCAATGCGATGAAACACATCTTAGGTGTTTTCTTTTCATTGCACAGAGAATAGTTATTGCATGCATACATAACGAGGAACAAGTTAGATAGGTCATGCAATGCGATGAAACACTTCTTAGGTGTTTTCTTTTCATTGCACAGAGGATAGTTATTGCATGCATACATAACTAGGAACAAGTTAGATAGGTCATGCAATGCATTGAAACACATCTTAGTTGTTTTCTTTTCATTGCACAGAGGTTATTGCGTGCATATGCATAACGAGGAACAAGTTAGATATGTCATGTAATGCACTGAAACACATCTTAGGTGTTTTCTTTTCACTGCACAGATGTTAGTTATTGCGTGCATATGCATAACGAGGAACAAGTTAGATAGGTCATGCAATGCGATGAAACACATCTTAGGTGTTTTCTTTTCACTGCACAGAGGTTAGTTATTGCGTGCATATGCATAACGAGGAACAAGTTAGATATGTCATGCAATGCAATGAAACACATCTTAGGTGTTTTCTTTTCATTTGACAGAGGTTAGTTATCGTGTGCATGTGCAATGCAATCCTAAAGCACAAGCATTGCAAATCTCTTCGTTGCACAAAGGAACAAGTTAGTGTGTGCATTGTAAAGTGCTCGCTCTTTTGATGTTTTCTCGTCAAAACACAAATTAATTAGTTATAGAATGGAAATGCATGGAAAGCACGCGTGTTTTATCTTTCTTTTCATTGCAAAGAAAAATAAGTTAGAAAATGTAAGAATTGCAATGAAACAACACACGTTATCCAGTCAATGCACTAAGGAAGGGTTTAGTTCTTGAATGCAATAAAGTGCATATTACATATATGGTATTTTTGATGCACAACATTCTTCATGCACAATCCACATCTCTTCATTGCACAAAGCAACAGGTTGCAATGCATAAAATATCGAACTTGTTCCTCTTTGCAATGAAAAGAAAATGTATGCATGTGCTTTCGCATGCATTTCTATTTTACAAACTATATTTGTTTGTGCACAGACGAGAAAACATCACATTATGCCTTTTCATTGCAACGAAGAACAAGTTAGATTGTTATGCAATCCAATGAAACATATTAGGTGTTTTCTTTTCATTGCACAGAGAAACATGTTAGTTATTGCGTGCATATTCTTTAATGCACAACGTTAGACGTTAGATGTGTTTTCGTTGAACAACGGAATGAGTTAGATATTGCATGCGTTCCTCTGTTGCACAAAGGAACGAGTAAGTTATTGCATTGCACGACCGCTCAAGTGATGTTTTTTCGTCAGTGGACAAAAGAATTAGTAGTAGAATCCATGCGAAAGAGTCAAAGGGTCCTCAAAGGTTTTAATAAATATTAACTTATTGACTTTTGATGATTTGTAAGTGTCACAGGTCGAGGGGAGGAACGCTCGGGTGACCAACCACCCCCCCTCTAACTGAGTCACCACCGTGAGGAGCCGACACCACAGGCACACAACAGAGGACCCGGAGACAGAGACAAGTTTCAAAGGAGTAACAATCTTTATTAAACCAAGGGTTTCTCACAGTTTAAGATACTCTCAGCGGTGCTGCAGACTTCCGGACTCATACAGTAAGTATGGCAGGTAAGGATTCTTCACAGTACAGGGTACTCTCGTTGGTGCACGGTAGTGAACAGTGGATTAAAAGCTTACTTTTCCCCCAGCAGTACTGCAGACTTCCGGACTCATACAGTAAGTATGGCAGGTAAGGATTCTTCACAGTACAGGGTACTCTCGTTGGTGCACGGTAATGAAGCAGTGGATTAAAAGCTTACTTTTCCCCCCAGCGGTGCTGCAGACTTCCGGACGCATACAATAAGTATGGCAGGTAAGGATTCTTCACAGTACAGGGTACTCTCGTTGGTGCACGGTAATGAAGCAGTGGATTAAAAGCTTACTTTTCCCCCAGCGGTGCTGCAGACTTCCGGACTCATACAGTAAGTATGGCAGGTAAGGATTCTTCACAGTACAGGGTACTCTCGTTGGTGCACGGTAATGAAGCAGTGGATTAAAAGCTTACTTTTCCCCCAGCGGTGCTGCAGACTTCCGGACTCATACAATAAGTATGGCAGGTAAGGATTCTTCACAGTACAGGGTACTCTCTCTCTCTTCAGTTTACAGTACGGCGACAGTGGGTTAAACGATTACTTTATCAGCATTGCTGTATACTTCTGGGCTCAAACAGTAAGTAGAACAGGTGAGGACATTCACAGTACACAGTACTCTCTCTTCAGTTCACAATACGAAGACAGTGAGTCATAATGTTACTTTACCAGCGATGCTGTGTGCTTCTGGGCTCAAACAGCAAGTAGAACAGGTGGGGATCTTCACAGTACAAAGTACTCTCTCCTCAGTTCACAGTAGGGCGACAGTGGGTTAGACGATTACTTTACCAGCGATGCTGTGTGCTTCTGGGCTCAAACAGTGAATAGAACAAGTGAGGACATTCACAGTACACAGTACTCTCTCTTCAGTTCACTGTATGACTCTGGTCTTCTGACGGGGGCAGATATAATAACCTTCCACGAACGTGTAAGCATGGATAAGGCTACTTCTCAGCAAAGACACATCACACTCGTGTTCACTTCAATTCCACAGCCAAAAATCAATGTGTATTAATAAGGCAAAAGCACTGCAATTCACTCACACGGTAGGGCTGATCAGAGGCCTCGCCCTGTTTGTTGTGCTCACTTTACATGGGGTTTCACTTTCAATTCCTCCTCCACACTCTCTGAAACACATAGCTTCTCCAACAGTCAGATCCACACTCACTGTATCCTCTTCAAGCGGTTTAAATGTTCATAAGATAAAATCAGTTCACTTATCTTTGCTCTCTTCTTTCCCAGCACAGATCCAGTCGATAGCTCAGACCAGCAGGCTTCCTACACACAATCACTCTGATCCAGCAAGCTTAAATGGGCGTCTCTCCCTTTCCCCTGTCCCTTCCCTGTCAGTGGGTCCTCCATCTGAGCCTTCCCCGTCTGTGTCTCCCCCGTCTGAGCCCTCCTCTCCCTTCTGTCTGTGTCCTTTTATCTTGTTTATCTTGACTCGTCAAACAGGAAACCTGTGTGAGTGCCGCTCCTCTCTCTCTCGCACCTGCAGGGCATTAGCGCTAATCAGTGCGGGCATGATTCCATCACGCCCAGAACTGCAGTGGTGTGTTGCACACAATCCGTTCCCCTAGGGAACTTGCGACTCTGAGGAGGGTTCCGATCGCCAAGCGATTTTGTCACCCGTGACATCCCCCCTTGCCAATCGGTTCTAGTCCCTAGAACCGACGTTCCTCAATTCCATTTGCCATATCTCTCCAGTGGCTGTCCTCGGGTATCCCACTGAGGTCGTCGGGGTGGCGAGGGCGGAGCCGCTCTTACTTCACTTCGAGGTCCCTTGGGACCACAGCCCACCCTACCATGGGTACCTCTTCGTCCACCATCGCGTACCTGTGGCCGCTACAACTCACGGTGTGTACCCTGCCGACTACGCCACTTTTGATGTCACAGGTCGAGGGGAGGAACGCTCGGGTGACCAACCACCCCCCCTCTAACTGAGTCACCACCGTGAGGAGCCGACACCACAGGCACACAACAGAGGACCCGGAGACAGAGACAAGTTTCAAAGGAGTAACAATCTTTATTAAACCAAGGGTTTCTCACAGTTTAAGATACTCTCAGCGGTGCTGCAGACTTCCGCACTCATACAGTAAGTATGGCAGGTAAGGATTCTTCACAGTACAGGGTACTCTCGTTGGTGCACATTAGTGAACAGTGGATTAAAAGCTTACTTTTCCCCCAGCAGTACTGCAGACTTCCGGACTCATACAGTAAGTATGGCAGGTAAGGATTCTTCACAGTACAGGGTACTCTCGTTGGTGCACGGTAATGAAGCAGTGGATTAAAAGCTTACTTTTCCCCCCAGCGGTGCTGCAGACTTCCGGACGCATACAATAAGTATGGCAGGTAAGGATTCTTCACAGTACAGGGTACTCTCATTGGTGCAGGGTAATGAAGCAGTGGATTAAAAGCTTACTTTTCCCCCAGCGGTGCTGCAGACTTCCGGACTCATACAGTAAGTATGGCAGGTAAGGATTCTTCACAGTACAGGGTACTCTCGTTGGTGCACGGTAATGAAGCAGTGGATTAAAAGCTTACTTTTCCCCCAGCGGTGCTGCAGACTTCCGGACTCATACAATAAGTATGGCAGGTAAGGATTCTTCACAGTACAGGGTACTCTCTCTCTCTTCAGTTCACAGTAGGGCGACAGTGGGTTAAACGATTACTTTATCAGCATTGCTGTATA